GTATTCCGTTGTGTATGTGTACCAAAGATTTTATGCATTATGCTACTCTCTGTCTCTTAACTGGTGCATTTAATCTATTTACATTCAGTGTAATTATCAATAGGTGTGAATTAATTGCTGTCATTTGCTCTGTTGTGTGGGTGGGTGTGTGTGTAGTGTTACTAGTTTCTTTGTTCTACATAAAGTTCTGTACTTAATTCATTTTGTTTGTAAGTTTTCTTTTCATTTTCTTTATTGCTGTTGTTTTAAAGATTACTAAATCTCTCTGACTTTTCCCTTTTTTATTTTGATGTGAATGTGTATTAATTTTCTTTGAGGTTACCCTGTAATTTATTAATTTCTTCCTCCACTAAAAGTCTGTTTTAAAAAGAGATGGGGAAAGAAAAAAGAGATGGGTATAAGATTCTTATGATTCAATAGTAACTAATTGTTATCATGACTAATTGCGACTGTCACAATTATAAAAGTAGTTTTGTAACAAAAACAAAAATGAGGGAGTAGTTAATCTTACATTCCAGGAACAGAGGACCTTAGGACCATCAAGGGAGAAGAGCACAAGCAGAGTGTAGGACCCTATCCAGAGAAGCAGCGACACCAGAGATGGAGGCAGAGATGAGGACATGGAGAGAGGGAGTAGATGAGGACTCTAGACTCATGGAAAGAGAGGGACTGGGTGCTGACGGCCAGGAGGCAGGCTTTCAGAATATGCCCTTTGGTTGTTTAAATTATTATATATTCCTGAGTGCTTTTGTGTACATTCCTCCTCCCCCCCCCCAACAAAACAAAACAAAACAAAAAGCAAATATGGTTGAATGATGATGTACAGAGGGGATTGTAATCATTGCAATGAAACGATGGTGTAAAGCCGATGTTCTCCCATGTAAACTATCACTCAGTTCACAATAAAAACTTTTTTTAAAAGTCTGTTTTATATTGAAATTTACTTGATTTACGTGCCATTTGGAAGTTCTGTATCTACACTATTCCCTCTTTTTGCTTTTAGTTGAACTTCATTATAAATTGATATCTCTGGTTCCCTATTTTCAGTCTTGTAACTTTGTTTTCCTTTGGATGCTTCTATATCTCAGTTGAGTTCTGGATGGTGTTGTCATGTGTGGTAATCTCAGGTTGCTATCTGCTGTTGTTGGGTTCTCAGTCCAAAGAACACTCTTTAGTATTTTTTGTAAAGTTGGTTTGGTTATTACAAATTCCTTTCAATTCTGTTTATCTGAAAATATCCTAATTTTGTTGGCATATTTGAGGAACAGCTTTGCTGTATTCTTGTGTTTCAGAGTTTTGTGTATGTCACCCCATTAAATTTTTACCTGCATGGTATCTGATAAGAAATCAGAGCTTAGTCTTATTGGTTCTCCTTTGTAGGTGACCTTTTTCATTCCTGAGTTGCTTTCAGGATTTCTTTCCTTGGCTTTGATTTTGGAAAGTCTGATTATGATATGTCTTGGTGATTTTCATTTGGGCTCTATCCTAGTTGGGGTTCATTCATCTTCTTGAATTTCTCATCTTTCATGTATTAGGGAAGTTTTCTTTCAGCAACTATTTGACAATTTCCTTTGTGCTTTTTACTGTCTCTTCCTGTTCTGGAATTCCAATCACTTGTAAGTTATTCCTCTTCATGGTGTCCCACATAAAGCTCAGCCTTTTTTCTTGTTTCCTCGTTCTTTTTTCTGATTATTCTTCTAGCTTGCTAGCATTGAGGGATTTATATTTTAGGTCACTAATTTGGGCTTCCATTGATTCAAATCTACACCTTTGCTCTTTCAATGTATTATTCATTTCTGAGGTCTTCCAGATTTAGAATGACCTTTTTTGTATTGTTTCAAAATTTGCATTTATTTTGTCTGTTTGTTCTTATAATATTTTCCTAAATTCTTCTAAAGTTTTTACTATATTCTCCTTATTTCCTTAATCTTTTTGTCAATCCATTGAAAGTACCTAAATATCATTCCTTTGAATTATTTCTCAGATTGTTCCATTATCTTTTCTTCCTCAGAAACATTTTCTAGCTCTGAATCTTGGTCATTTGTTTGAGCTACTCTCATTACTTATGTGAGCTAACATCTTCTGTTGTCTTGGGCACAGTGTGATATGATGGATATGTATTTAATTGATGATTGAACATTGATGTGTTCTTTGCCTTTCACTAACTGTCTCCTGGTAGATGTGATTATACAATGAAACTGTGTGCACTGTGTTCCATTTGGCCTTTATGCAACACAGTTTAGAGTGGGTTTGGTTGGTGTTGGTTGCTATCTATGGTTGATCAAGTGATACAGGAGCTGGCTCTTGCCAGAAGGCATGGTTGTGGTTGAGCTGTATAGGCATGGTTGCTGTCTCCCATCAGGTGGAGCAAGAGGAGAAACCACATACAGGAAAACAAAACAGAACAAACAAACAACAGCAAAACCAGAATATAATAAAGGAGAAAAAATAAACAGAAATGGGCAGCAACAAGAAAAAAAATAACTAAAAAGAGGAACAGGAAAAATAGAGTTGTACAAGAGAAAAATAAAGAAAATAAAAGAAAGAGAAAAAACACTAAATATATGGAGAGAGGGACGATGAAAAGAGAAAGAGACTAGAGTAGTAAAGAAAAATTGAGAGGAAAAAAGGGTGGAAATGAGAAAAAGAAAAAACAAAAGTGGAGATAGGATGAAACTCTCAAGAAGGGAAAGAGGAAGAGGAGAACAAACAGAAACAACTAAACAATGAAAAGTAAAATAAATAAACAGAAAACAGTGCAGTTGTTAGACTCAGAAAGGAGAAAACTCTGAAGGGCTCCTGCCGATCAAGGAACACATGAGCTGGGTGGAGGAGGGATGTGATGGCTGAGTTCCCAGCCCTAGATGGAGTTTCTATAGATCTAGGTGTTGTCTATGGAATCCTGGTGTGGTGCTGGGGGTTAATATGCTGGACTGCAAAGTCGGTTTGAACTGCAAGGTTGGTGATTCAAGTTCACCAGTTGTTCCTCGGAAACCCTATACAAGGTTGCTATGAGTCAGAACTGACTCAATGGCACTTAACAACAATAATAGCAAGGTGTTGTCTATATTCAGGGAATCCAATCTGGAAGTAGTTCACAGAGGCCCTTCAGGTTGCTAGTTTCCGTGTGTGTCAGAACCAGAGGACAGCTGGGGGCATGATGACTGATTTTGAAGGCTTCTTCTAATCTAATTCTGCTCTGGAGGTTCTGTGAGTTCTGTAAATCTGGAGCAGAGCCTGCCTGGATCCAAGAACCAAGGTGGTGCCTTGTACACCCACTTCTCATGGCTCAAACCATACAGCTCAGAACTCTTAGAGAGCAGGGTCTAAGCTACTGGTAGATGAAGGTGGGGGCCAGCCTCACCTCTGTTTACCAGGGCAGTGTGGGGAGCAAGAAGGAATCCAATCTTGTCCATTGCCCTGTGAATCTTTACCATCAGATCACCCTCTGTCTCTCCAAAGCTGCTTGCAAAATTTCAAGATGACCCTCCCTTGTCTGGCCAGAAATGCTTTCACCTCTCAGTCTCCTTCTTTCACTGCCCCTGTTCAGCTTCTCAATCCACTTCTCTAACCTTTCCTTTAAAGTTAGTGTTCCATGATTGTCCTGTGTCTGTTTCATTTGGTCTCCCGCGTCTTTGTTGTAGAGGGTCTGTATAGTTTCTCTGCCTAGTCCACCATCTTGACGCAAGTCCTTCAGATTTATTTTTTATAGCTTTTATCTATTAATTTATTTGTTCATTCATTCTAGAAATGATTGTGTTCCATTTAGGTGCCAGGTATGGAAATAATGCAGGGAACCCAACTGAAACGGTAGAGCCCTCGTGATGCTTCCAGTCTAATGAACACCTCAACTGTCCTTCCTCACATCTGCTTGTCCTGCATGTGAAATCCATGCAAGCCTCTCCTGAAGCCTCATCTATAAGTTGGTGCTAAGTTCCTGTTTCATCTGCCATTATTTTCCCTTCCCATAGCCACTTCCTCTTCACAGCCAATAGGAAGATGAGAGAGGCTGGGAATGAGGAACCCAGAGCCTTCCCTCCATATACACTTTTTTCCCTCTAAAGAAAAGGTTCACAGGCCAAACCCACCAGCTGCTCCTCGGAAACCCCATACAGGTTCACCTTGAGTCAGAACCGACTGGATGGCACTTAACAACAACAATGACAACAAAGAAAAGGTGCAGCAGGAGAGTTGGAGAAAGCTCCATTTTATTATGGAAAGTTAAAAAACAAAACCACAACTGATAAGGAAGGAGAGAGGAGAGGTGCTTCCTTTGTCACCCCACACTCCTACAATTCAATTCAATGTGAAGTACTAGGTGAACAGAATTAAATAACTGTCTGGGAGTACAAAGTCAAGATTCCCAGCCTTCCCTCTGGGGGAAAACAGGTACATTAATACTGAGCAAAAGTGGGTGGGGTTACACCTCAAGCCACTCCCAACTCATTGCAGGGGGAGTGGGCGTGGCTTGTAAACCTAGGGTTTTGGCAGCGTGGAGCTGGGAGCTGGTGGGGCTTGTAAACCAGGCAGTGGTCAGAAGAGGAAATGGGCTGTAAACACAAAGGTGATCTAGGGATCAAAATGAAGGCCAGGCCTCCCAGAGAGAAAGATGAGTGCTTAAATCCTGAGAGTACACTGGGGGTGGTGGGGAGCTAAGGAAGGCTGTGGGGACTGCGTCCCCTCCCATGTAGATGGGGGGAATGCTCCATTTTCACACACACCCGGTGGGCTCTGTACTTCTCTTCAGGGCTTGGGACTCATTCTTGGATCACCTAGATGCACCAGCACATTTGACACATACCAGGGACCTTGGGTTCGGGGTGAAGTTGGGCAATTGGCTCTGCCCTGGAAAACAGGACGAGAAAAGCAAGCTGGGAGATGCTAGTTGTCCTTCCCTGCCACACTCATTTTCAGGGCCTGTCTTCTTAGGATCTTCTAAGCTCCAGGATCTTCAATTCTGGGAAGGAGGACAGAATTATCTTCCCCTTGTGGGGAGAGGGTCACCTCCGGCAGGACTCATCTGTGCAAGAGGAGGCAATTATGACAGCAAATGAGTGAGGGCCCTGGTCTCCCGCCCTCCCCACCGCAAGCTGAAAAGACAGTTGGCATCTAGGAAATCCTGTAATATCTTGCTCATACTACCAGGAACACCAGCCATCACTCATCTAGCTTGTATTCTGTTCCAGGCTATGGTTCAGGGCTGTGGAGTCATTTTCCAGTACAGTGAGCTAATGTAATAAGGTTGCATTGCCTCAGAGGGCTTTCTTGGCAATAATCTTTATGGAAGTGAGTCACCAAATTTTTCTCCTGAGAAGCCGCTGGATGGGTTCAAACACTAAGCCTTTCAGTTAGCAGCTGAATATGTAATTGTTTGTGTCACCAGAGCTTCCCTCAGGCATTCTTATAGTGAATTTCACAGTAACACCACTGGGAGAGGTTGTTGTTGTTGTTAAGTGCCGTTGAATTGGTTCCGACTCATATCGACCCTGTGTAGGATTTCCGAGGGGAGGCTGGTAGGTTTGAATTGCTGACCTTACGATTCAAACCGAACTTATGGTGGAATGCTTATCTTACATCCTTTGGAAAGATTGTTGTTGTTGTTAGGTGCCATCGAGTTGGTACTGATTCATAGCAACCCTATGCACAGCAGAACAAAACACTGCCTGATCGTAGGACAACCTCACAGTTGTTACCACACTTGAACCCACTGATGCTGCCACTTTGCCAATCCATCTCGCTGGGGGTCTTCCTCTTTTTCTCTGACCCTCCACCTTGCCAAACATGATATCCTTCTCCAGTGACTAGTCCCTCCTGACAATATGTCTGAAGTATGAGAGAGGAAGTTTGGCCATCCTGGCCTCCAAGGAGCACTCTGGCTGCACTTCTTCCAACATATATCTGTTGGTTCTTTTGGCAGCCTACGGCACTTTCAATATTCTCCTCCAACACCATAACTCAAAAGCATCAATTCTATGGTTTTCCTTATTCACTGCCCAGCTTTCGCATGCACATGAGGTTATTGAAAATACCATGGCTTGGGTCAGGCGCACCTTAGTCCTCAAGCTGACATCTTTGCTTTACAACACTTTAAATAAAAAGGTCTTGTGCAGCAGATTTGCCTAATGCTATGCGTCCTTTGATTTCTTCACTGCTGCTTCTGTGAGTGTTGATAGTTGATGCAAGAAGAATGAAGTCCTTGACAACTTCAATCTTTTCTCTGTTGATAAGAATGTTGTTTACTGGTTTACTGGTCCAGTGGTGAGGATTCTTTTGTTTTCTTTACATTGAAATGCAATCCATACCAAAGGCTGTGGTCTTTGATCTTTATCAGTAAATCTTTTAAGTCCTCTTCACTTTCTGCAATTAAGGTTGCTGATATCACAGGTTGTTAATGAATCTTCCTCCAATTCTGATGCCACGTTTTTCTTCATAGAACCCAGCTTCTCGGATTATTTGCTCAGCATACAGGTTGAATAAGTATGGTGAAAGAATACAATCTTTTGTAAAGATTATAGCCTTGAAAATCCAATTGGGCTATTCTACCCTTGGTTTGAATTGCAAGGTTGGTGGTTCCAATTCACCATCTACTCCTTGGAAACCCTATACAGGGTCACTATGAGTCGGGTCCAGCTTGACAGCATTTAACAATAACAGCAACAACAACTCTGTCCTATAGGGTTACTATTGTTCTGAATCAGCTAGAAAGCAACAGGGTTTAATTTTTTGGTTTTCCTTTCCCTCCTGGGTTGCAGTGTCAGCCCCCAACACCAGGGGGCACCCTTAGACCAGCAAAGTCTCACTCACCCACTATCAGGGCCTTCGTGCGGAGCCCGCCCTGGAGTTCCCTTTGCAGAAGCAGCAGCTCCTCCTCATCCTCCTCCTCATCTGGCTGGGCTGATGGGGGGTGGGGGGCACTGGGGGGCTCTGGCTCTGGCCCCAGCTCCTCCAGCACAGAGCTCTCAGAAGGGTACTGGTACGTTGTCTCTAGGGCTGTCTCACTGAAGGAGATCTTGAGCTGAGTGAGAGAAAGGGAAGGAGATGAGGTCAGCCAGTTAAAATGCAGGTGGGAGATGGGAAGGGACTAGGCTGGGGGCGCTATGCTGACTGTCCCCTCCCCAGCCACACTGCCATCCAGCTTCCCGTTTGATACTGGTTCTCCAATCCCAGATTTCCCCTCTTCAGTCACATCATTTCAAAACCCACAGACTTCAGCCTGTGTTCTGGCAGGGCTGCTGAGGCAGAAGTAATACTGGACCAAGGTCCCTGCTTTTCGGAGTGTAGGCAGCAGAGTGGTAAAAATGAGTTTATACAAGAACACCCACACTTGCAGATAATACCCACTTGACCTGGCTTCAATGACTAGGATGATCAGAGTTCAGCTAGAAGAGGAAAAAAAGAGTAATCTCATACAATATGATGAACCTGACCTACACTTATAGATGCAGTATCTCAAAAGAGGGAACAAGTCTTTACAGTGAGGATCATTCCCACCCCCTCCATACACAGAGTAGACAGGGATGGGCAACTTAGACATTGGCTACTCAAAGTTGGGGTAATACAAAGGCAAGAAGTGACTGGCTTACAAACTTTCAAGAGGGAACCTAGATCCAGAGGGCGTGGAGGAAGGTAGAATCTCCACTGAGTAGTATCTAATCTGTCTGGGTGGGGCTGATGAAAGGAAATGCGGATTGGTCTCTTGTGATACAATAGTGAATAATTGTTATCAGAACTGATTGCGAGGGTTGGAAATGTAAAGGTAGAGGTTATGTAGCAAGGAGGGGAGTGATTAACTTTTCAGTCTTGGAGCAGAGGTCCCTGGGACCATCAAGGGAGAAGAGCAGAGAGCGGGGCCCTACCCAGAGAATCAGTGGCGCCAGACATGGAAGCAGAGATGATGACTGGGGACTTCAGACCCAGAGAGGGAGAGGGGCTGTGTGCTGATGACTGGGGGTGGGAGGAGGGAAGAGGCTTGTAGGGTATACCCTTTGGTTGGTTGATAATGCATGGAGGATTGTAACCATGGCAATGAAACAATATAGGCTAGGATGAATGTAAAACTAATGTTCTCCCATGTAAACGATCACATAATTTACAATAAAACATTTAAAAAAGAATAAAATTTAAATGCATAGAAAGAAATCCTATGATCAGCACAAAGTTGCAGGGCACCCTGAGAGAAATCCAGAAAGCTTCCCAGAGGTGAGATTTGAGTTGACCAAGTGGGAAAGAGGTGGAATGAGAGGGAGTCTCAGGCAAAAAGCTGGGCATTGCTTTCCATGCCTTCAGACCCTTGGCCCTCACTCCTCTTCTATGTCTGGAATAGATCCAGGGCAAAGAGGATCTGGGGTGAGGGGAAACCAACAATAAGTCCCAGGGGAAGCAGCAGACCATCCCTCCAACACATCAAGGACATGAACTCTCTGAGTGCCTGAAAGGTGAAAGTGTGAGGTGACCAGGGCAGAGAGGGATAATCAAAGATAGAGGCAAAAGGCCAGAGAAGAAATCTGGAGCGGGCAGGAAATGCTTCCTAAACACCATCCAAGGGCAGGCTGAGCCCCAGCTGTTGCTACTGCCTTTGCCCTCCTAAGAAGCTCAGGGGGGTGGGGATTAACTCTTTCCAGGGATTAGGGCCAGATGATCTACTCAGGCCTTCCCTGGAGTCAATTTAGGAAAGTGGGCTGGAATCTGATACTCCTAAATCTGCATGGACTAAGGTGAAGATAGAGAGAAGCCAAGAGGGTGGCTGGACAGGTGATTTGCACAGGGCTGTGTGAGATGGGACAGCTGGGTCTCCATGGGAAGCTGGAGCTCAGGAATGATGTTACTTCAAGTCTTCCCATGTCTCCTCACCTCAAAACAAATGCCAGAAGCCTGACCATGGCCCTCAGATCCCCTCTCTCCTGGCCCTGGTCTCTTCCCTGGCTCCAGCCATTTTAGCCTTGATTTCCTCCAAGCCCACCAGGTATACTTCCACCTGAGGGCCTATGCACTACCTCAAATAGATAATTCCCATGAGGCTCTCCCTCCCAATCATCCCATGATCTGGTTGCCATATTTATTCTTCCCAATCTGGCCTTTTAGGTTCCATTTACCTTTACTCTGTCATTCTCTCTCTTTTTTAAACCACTACCTTCTAAAGGAGCTCTGGTAGTGTAGTGGTTACAAATCAGGCTGTAAACCTTAAGGTCAGCAGTTCGCAACTACCTGCTGTCCCGTGGGAGAAAGATGAGGTTTTCTGCTCCTGTAAAGATTTACAGCCTCGAAAACCCTGTGCAGGGTCGCTATGGGTCGGAATCGACTCAACAGCACTTAACAACAACAAAACCTTCTAAAGAATTTATTTACTACCCTTGCTATCTGCTTGTTCCTATCCAGCCAGCCAGAGGGCAGGAATTTTTGTCTGTGTCGTTGATGACATATTCCCAGCATCTAGAAAAGTGCTTTGCACATAGTAGATGTTTAATCAGTGTTTGTGAGATGAGTCATGCAAAGCTTGGACGTAGCTACAAGAAGATAAGGGTTCATCCAGGCCTCTGATGAGATCCCAACAGAGAGAGGACCATAGTTGAGAAAACAAGGTGCACTTGACTCCCAGTCCATGTTAGTAAAACTGCTAGGCAAATCAAGTGATGGTAACTAAACTCCACACATCCGTTTCTTGAAAAGGACCATTTCTGATGAACTGACAGATTTGTCCAAAACTCTGGGAATCCACTTCTGTCTCCTTTTCATATCCACTTTTGGGATAGCAAAGGCCTCTGGGTGGTGTTAACCTAAACGTTGGTGGTTATGAGCCCACCCGGCAGCACCCTCTTAGGACGTAGTGTGTAGGATACGGACTGGAGGACAGAAAGCCCTGACAATCCACTTTCATAAAGATTACGAACAAAACAACTGTATGGGACAGTTCTACTCTGTCACACATTGGTCGCTATGAGTCAGAATTTGATGAAGTGTTTGGTTTGGTTTTGTCAGAAAGAAGATTTTGGGCCTCTTTTCTCTTCCTCTCAAAGACACACGCTGACTTAAGTAGGAAGTGGTCTTTCTGAACATCTCTTCTGGATAATCTTTTCATGTGCGTGGCCTTAAGGGGCTTGGGTTGGTAGCAGTTAGAAGTCAGAGGTCTCAGGGATGGGAGCTTAAGAGGTACATGAAGATGCATCTGGGAACTAAATGATCTCCAAGCTTAGCCCAGATCTTTAGTCCCTGTGGTTTCCCACTGACTTTTTTCCCCCACTGACTCTTATGACATGAAAACTAGATCTTAGGATGTAGCGTAGGATATGGACTGGAGGACACGAAGGGCTTCCCAGTCTCTATTTGTCATCTGTGGCACTGCGGGTTAATGTGCTGGACTGCAAGGTCAGTTTGAACCGCAAGGTCGGAGGTTGAAGCTCACTAGCTCTCCTTGGAAACCCTATACGGGGTCGCTATGAGTTGGAACTGACTCGACGGCACTTAACAACTTGCTGAAGAAAGATGTCTTTGATTTGCTCTCAGTTTATGTCTGTCTCTCCCGTACCCTGCCCCTGCTGCTTCCCTCACCCCCCCACCCCCCAAACTTCTGACAAGGCTTCTCAGGAATGCATAGCTTGCATGGGAGTGGGCAGGGGGTGACTCACTAGATCCTCTCCCATCAGCTATATAAGGTCACAAGGGTGCCAGCAAGGGGAGGGGCTGGTGTCTCAGAGATATCCCTAGTGGCTGGCAGAGCTGGGATTTCTCTCTGGATGGCAAAGATCAGTTTGATGGAATTAGCCTGCAATAGCAGTTATTTAAGGAAGGCAGGGGGTGGGAGTCAGTGGGTTAGGAAGGCGCTGGGTCAGCTACCGCTAGTCCTGATGAGAAAATTGAGAGCAGAGAAGGCATGAAAGAGGGCGGAAGGGTGAGGTGTCTGGGTCTAGGAAACTGTGTGCTGCTTCTTCTCCACCCCCCCGCCCCTGGTGGCTGCTTCCTTATTCTCTCACCACATCCTGAGCACAGTTCTGGCAGGCCCGCAGCCCAGCCTTCCCCAGGCAGCTCCACTAGCCTTCCGGGCCCCCATGCCAGGCTTCCTGTTTGGCCGCTCTGCTTCCGGCTCCCATACTCCCTGACCCAGGCCATCCCTGCTCTGCACAAGCTTCTGATTCTCGTCGAATGGACACCATACTTTGCAGCCCAAAGCTTTGAGCCTCCTTTCTCTTCCTCTCAAAGACCCAAGCTGATTTTACTAGGAAGCAACCTTTCTGAACATCTCCCCTTGATAATCTTTGCATGTCCATGGCCTTAAGGGGTAGGGTTGATAGCAGTCAGAGGTCTCAGAGATGGGAGTTTAAGAGATATGTGAAAGATGTATCTGGGGGCCAAGTGATCTCCAAGCTTAGCCCAGATCTTTAGTCCCTGTGGTTTCCCACTGACTCTTATGACATGAAAAACAGATCTTAGGATGTAGCATGTAGGGTACAGACTGGAAGACAGAAAGGGCTTCCCAGTGTTCAGGATCATTTATAGGTTATCCCCAGGGGGCTGCTTGGTGGTGGTCAGAGTCTACTGCTTCCTGTTCCTGCTATGTCAGCTGCAGAGACGTCTGAGTCTGACATGTCTGAGCATGGAACCTCTTCCCCTAGAGATTCTCAAGCTGAGGACTGGTTGGTATGTCTATAGAGGGAGTTGGACTAGGGCCAGGGAGAGAGTGGGCCTGGTTGTTCTCACTTCCCCTAAATCCTTTTTCAATCTAATCTCTGACTTTTATCAGCCTAGGTCTCAGTCCCCCATTCCAGTCTCCAACTCCAATGGTACTCCGCAGCCCTCCTGGCCTTTAGCACTGTACCTCCAAATTCACTTCTGTTTTTCCACCCCAAGGGGAGAGAGAGGCCAGGGTGGCAGGAAGAGAGGGGAAAACCAATTGCCAACTGCTGTGCCAGTTCTGAAAGGGAGGGGAAGTCCAGAGAAGAAGGCTAGGGGAGTAAGGGGTGGGGGATTTTGGAAGAGGAGAAGGCTTTTCTTGTCCCAAGAGAGAAGGGAGCACTGTCTAAAGCAGTGGCTCAGCTGGGGGTGTGTAACCCTGAGGTCACCTACTTCAAATGGCCTCTGTGTATCTCTCCCAGGGGGCAGACTCAGGGTTCAAAAGCCTTCTCTCTGCTTTCTGCTCCATTCCTCAGCCCTGTTCCAGCCCTCCCTTTACTCTCTTTGGATGTCACCATTCAGCTCTGCCCCCCCTCTTCCTTGGGGCCAGGAGACCTTCCTCCCACAGCACCTCCCTGCCATTTCTTATCCCCTCTGCATCTCCAAACTTCCTGCCCCGACATTCTGTCCCTTCTAAAAGTATAACTGTGTTCATGCTGGCCAATCCAGGATTGTCGGCCTCAGCTCAAGTTGCCCACCAGATGGGCTGGGTTGGGCCACAGCCTCAGAGGAAAGCAATGGGGTGAAGAACTCGGAGCCCAAAAGAAAGGCAGAAAGCGCAGCCTGGGCACACCCTGGGAGACACACCCAGAAACAGGCTCCTCAGGGCTCAGAAATGAATGGAACAGGAGGGCAGCGGGAAGAAAGGGTGTGTGTGCAGAGAGAGGAAGGGTGGTAGCAGGAATGTACAAGAAAGAATAGAGGGAGACAAGAATACAGGGGTATAAAAATGAGAGAAAGACTGGTGGCCAGAGAGAACTGGCGAGTGAGTTCTGAAGAAGGCTGGCTTGACTGCTCTCCTACCTGTTTGTGGTGCTTTTCGGGGGACCCCTTGACAAGACAGCTGCGGCTGAGTCGGAGGTAGCCCCCCAGAACCAAAATCTCTTCGGCAGTCGGGTACCGCTTCTTCCCAGTCCCCGGGACTGCAACATCAGCTGTGGTAGGGCCAGCTGGAGTGTCTGGGGCTACAGGGGGCACAAACCGCCGGGGGTTGACGGTGAAGGTGTGTCCGCTGCGGCGGGGCCCCCCTACCCCTGGCCCTGCCTTCACCCCATAGAAGAGACGGCTCATGAGGGGATCCCCAGGGGACTGGGGGACAGGTGGGGCTGGGGGTTGGGGAGACAGAGGGGCTGGTGGTGGGGGCCGGAGTTCCACTGCTTCCTCTTCCTGTAGTCGAGGGCCTCCGGTCCCAGCGTCCTCTGGTGGAATGGGGGAGGGCACAGAGTAGCGGTTCTGCAGGGCGCTCAGAGGACTGCCCTGAACCCCTGCCTCCTCCTCCTCAGCCTCCGCTTCTCCAGACGCTACCCCAGGAGGCCCCAGTTGATTCTCTGAAGACCTAGAAGGGTCTGGTTTCTGATTTTGAGTCTCTATGTCCCTGGGTGTCCATTCTCGCACCTTCCCAGAATTCAGGGTCCATTTCCACCCTTCGGTCAGCCTCAAGCCCCTCTCACTCTCCTCCTCTAGGTTGGACCTCTGCTTTGCTGTCTCCACTTCTCCGGTGCTGTTGTCTTGGGCCTCCCTGGTCAGGGTCTCTGATAGCTCTGTAATCTCTTTTGAAGCCAGTCCTGGAATTGGTCTCTCTTTTCTTTTCCCACATTCTTCCAAGAAGTCTTTGCTTTCCTCTCCTGAACTTGGCCTCCACTGCGATGTCCCCAGCTGTACTGAACTCTGTTCCTGATACTCTCCACAGTCAGGCCTCCATTTATGGGCCTCAGTCAGGCCTGTCTTCTGGGTACCCGACTCCCCTGGGCTCAGTCTACTTTCCATCACCTCTGTCCTCCTGGGACTTTGTTCTTGAGGTTCTGCCAGTCTCACACTCCACTCTGGAGTCTCTCCAGGGCTCGGCCTCCATTTCCGTGTCTCTGACTGTCCGGAGCTCCAGTCTCCTAGTTCTTTCGGCAATGGCCTCCAGTTCCGAGCCTCTAACGGTCTGGGGCTAGACTCTCGGGCTCTGCCTATACCCAGGCTCTTCTCTGCTGTCTCCCAAAGACTGAGCCTCTCTTCTTTTAACTCTTGTCCCTTGGGGCTCTGATCCTGAGTCTCCCCAGGGCTGGGTCTTCGCTCCCTTGCCTCGAGTGGCCCAGGCCTTCTCTCTATAAGAAACTCTTCACTCCGCTGCTGCCGCTCCTGCCTAATGAATCGGTTCTGGTGCACTGGCCCAATGGCCTCCAGGAGGACAGCTGACTCGTCCCGGTCTGGCGGTCCAGCCTCTACAGTCTCCGGCACAGAGCTAGGTTCTCCAGCGGACAGCCCAAGCTTGGCCCTGCGGCGTTCCAAGAGTCCCCGCTTCCAGGCTGGCATCTGGGACAAGCGCTCTAGCTCAGCCTTTTCCCGGCCACGCACTGCTGCCTCCTCCTGCCGGCGCCGGGCTAGCAGCTGGAGTTTCCAGTCTGGGATGGTGGCCATGGTTGCCTTGGGGTAAGGCTGGGGACAGAGGACAGGAAGAAGAGAGGTTGGTAAGACAAGCTCAGGGGGTGAGACCGGGTGTGAGGGGAGAGGAAGTGGAGGGGTCAGTGGGAGACAGACAGGAGCTAGCTCAGGTGAGGACAAGGGGAAAGAGGGAGAAGGGGGTGCAGAAGAAGGGAAAGCTGGGCAAGTGAAGAGAAAAGATAAGCGCCAAGTTGGGGGTGGGGATGCGTTGCGGGATGTGAGATGAGAGGAAGAGTCCAGATTCAGGGAAAAGAGGAAGGACTTAGAATTGGCAACACAGAGTGAAGAAGTCTTAGACACTGTCCCAAAGATGTGAGAGGGGAGAGAAGGAAGAAAAGCAGCCCAGGTTCAGGCGAGGCTGCCTCACCGCTACCCCAGGGGAGGTGAGAGTGGGAAGGGAGGTCAGAAAGTCGCGCTGGGGATGGGACGAAGAGACCTGGGGGGTGTCGGGAAGGTGATGAGGGGTTAGAGAGGGAAGAGGTCCAGGGGAGAAGGGGAAGTGATGGGGTGAAGGGAAAGGGAGTGCCGTAGCTGCAGCCCGGCGCGCAGCAGCGGGTCTTCAGGGCTCTGGGCTCCCGGCTCCCCTTCCAGCGCTGCTCGGCCACGCCCCTCCAGTTCCCCAGCCCCCACCTCCCCGCCCCACACTCCGCCCCTAAGGCGGGTCAAGGGAAATACCCTCCCCAGGGACGCTTGGAACCCGGGAGCTTAGATTGCCAGCACGTTCCCAGAACCAGGCGTCCACCCCCACTTTGTCCCGGCACCCCGCCTGCCTCCCTTACTAGCTGTCTCCCAGGACTCAGATGTGCCGAGGTCAGGCTCCACACCTCTTTTCTCTAGAGCCCACGAGTCCTGTGCCCAGGTCCTGGCTCTCCACTAGGGAACCCCAACCTAGGCGGCCATCCCCTCCCCGCTCTGACCGCACAATCTCGGCACAAAGAAGAGACAGCCCAAGGACCGGGACCGGGATGGGAGCAGGGACCGGCAAAAGGAGAACACCCCTCCCCAAGTCTGAAGCCCCTCAGTCAACTCACGCGCAGCGGGGCCCTGGGGGAGGGGGTGCAGAAGAGCCTGGCGTCCAGAGAGGAGGAGAGAGGAAGAGGAGGAGAGACAGCGAGGGAGATCCGGAGATGGGAGGGAGGGGAGGAGGAGGGAAAGAGGGATCAGAAGAGGAGGGACGGAGACAGGGACCAGGGGGCCGGGCGGGGGGCGGCGACCGCTTTGTCTGAGAACAATGGGGAGTGAGAAGGGGGCGCTGGGCGGAGTCCGAGGAGGGGGTGGAGCCTCGCTCCCCTAGACCCAGCTGCGGGTCTTCGAGCCGGGACTCCACTCTTCTCGTCAGAACTCCTGACTGTTCGTGCTCTGTCATCAGGGGCCACCGTCCCTCCTCCCCGTAGCCCCGGAGAGCCTAGGTGACCAGACCCCCACCCCTAGTTTGCCGACCCAGGGCGGTGGTCAGTGACTCAGGCCCCTCGCGTCCCTCCTCCCCGTAGCCCCGGAGAGCCTAGGTGACCAGACCCCCACCCCTAGTTTGCCGACCCAGGGCGGTGGTCAGTGACTCAGGCCCCTCGAGGGACTTGGGGAGGAAGCTGCAGCTGCTCGGAGTTGGACCCGCCCTTCCCATCTCTCCTGCTGTTCCTCCCCACGCCTTTGCCTTCCCGGGTCAGCCTTTGTTGCTGCGGGGTCGAGGGCTGCTGCCTGCCGCCCCGCGGCCCTGTTTACATGGGTTGGGAGGAAAGAAAGGAGCGCATTCCACAGTTTTGGAAGCTCTCTACCTAGGTCGCAGCCCCACTCTCTTTAGCATCAACCTATCTCCCATGGGTCCCCTAATCTGTTGTTAAGTGTCTTCGAGTCGATTCCACCCATAGCGACCCTAGATAGTGTTTCCAAGAATCAGCTGGTGAGCTTGAACTGCTGACCTTGTGGTTCCAACTGACTTTGCAGTCTAGCGCATTAGCCCACAGCACCACACCAGGACTCCCATGGGTTCTCTAGTCTGCCACGGGAGAATTGGGGAATGTGGTAGAAGAGGGACTTGGTTGCATGAAGAAGGTGGGCGGGGAGGTGGGTGTCGAGGGGAGTGGTCATCGCCGAGCGGACGCCAGAGGGCGCGGTGGCCACGCAAATCCTTATTTGGTGCGGACAGTCTCTGCTCTCCTTCCCTCCCAAACACCGTCTTGCAGCCTGAGAGACACTGAAGACTGTATGCCAGATGTAGAAAACTTAAGTTAAATTTTATTTTCCTGCAGCGCATGTACATCAGGGGAGGCCTAAGGTGCTGGAGTTAAGAGCTGGAGAATCCCCACAACTAAGTCCCGGGAAAGGCGCCCAGGGGCGGGGCCTAGGGAGGTGGAGCCGCGAGGCGTGGGCCTTGGAGGGGTGCCCACTACAGTCAAACGTGCAGACTTTGGTCCAGCATCTTGGGAGGGAAGTCAGCTGTGAAAATGGGGAATACCTGAGTAACAGAGCCAGAGAAGTGGTCAAGAGGGGATCTTTTCCTTTGTGGAGACGCTAGAAGGGGGCTCAAGCTCAAGCCCTAAATGATAAGGGGACAGAAGAGTTTCATGCTCTCTCTTTAGGAAGAAGACAGGGCCCTGGCTGGTGAGGAGTGAACCTTGGAGTCCAATGACTGAAACTCCAAATTTAGGGTATGGGTCTGACCCTAGGGAGTGGAATCTCAAGTAGGGGTAGGGTCAGCCCCTAGAGTCCAGTGATTAGGGACTGTGGGCTGAAGCAGCCAGCACTTGGATGTTAAGGGACTGAAAACTCTAGGGGAAGAAGAACTTGGAAACAGAAATTAGCTCTTCACTCAGCATCCCCATCCTGAGGCCGGGAGAGCAGGTGAAGTTTTCTTTGTAGTTGGGCACGCAGGTAGCGGAGGTCATGCTGGTCAAGCCCATGAGCCAGGCCCAGGTAGAGGGTGAGGAGGAGAGCCAGAAGGAAGCGATCAGTGCTCAGAGTAGGCACCACCCACAGCACTGTCAGCAGCTCCACACACACTGGGTGGCGCAGATGGGAGAAGAGCCTCAGAGCCCGTGGGGATTTCAGGGCAAGCGGCTCTCCCAGCCCCAGAACATGGTAGTACACCTAGGAGAGGGAGAATAGCTTAGAAATGGAGTCAAGTCCTTTTCACAACTTAGCTTCCTCTTTCCTCCTATCTCCTGGTGGTGCAGTAGGATAAGCACTGGACTGCTAAACACAAGGTTGGCAGTTGAAATCCAGTAGGTGTGCCTCCGGAGAAAGTTAAAGCTTTTGGCTCCCTTAAAGGCTTATTATAGCCTTGGAAACCCTAAACACGGTCCCTATGAGTTGGAGTCGACCAGATGGCTGTGGGTTTGGTTTGGTTTTCCTTCCTTTCCCAGGCACTGTTTTCCTAGAATTGAGGTCCAGGCACTTTCCTTTCTGAGGGTTAGGACCCTAACCCTGCTGTCTGGCCCATGCATCTTCCCCAGATCCAGGAAGCCCATGATTGCTGGCCTTTGAGGAAGGTCTGAGGAACAACTGTCTGACAGCAAAGGGAGGTAAGGGAGTCAAAAGCAATGGTGGAAGAGAGCACTGGAGGGGGAGGATTGAAATCCTTGGAAAGAGAAACAGCCTTACCTGTTTGAGGCCCATGAGCTCAGCATAGTCAAAGACGAGAAGTATACTGAAGATGAGGAGCCAGGAAATGATGTGGAGCACAAAGCAGAGGAGGGGCACCCAGGTGGCCCATGGCTCAGATCTAGCCTCCCACAGCACAGGACCTCTGGGTACGGGTTCCCAATACCGCATCAATAGCTGGAGAAGGATGAGAGGCTGGGCATCCATCCTGGCACCTCACCCTTGAGAGACCTAGACCCAGAGGCTGCCCCACCTCAGATTGGCCTGCAGCTCTCCCCCGTCCACATCACGAGCATTATTGACAAATATAGGGTGCTAAGTGGGGTTCCAAGAATGTAAGAATGACCTGTCTCTACCCTTAGGAATTATAGAATGGTTGGGATGACCAGACATGTATGTTAAGTAACCTGAGCCAAGCACCAAGGAGAAGACAGAGGAGTTCTGACTGGGGAGCTTTCCCTTGAGACTTAGTGGCATGGGTTTTGAAGAACAGGTAGGACTGAGAGGAGTTAAGGAGGGGATTCCAGGCAGTGAGACAACATGCATAAAGTTGCAAAGGTGAGAATGCATGTATTGTGCTTGGGGAATGACAAGTACACCCTTCTTGATAAAGGGTAGGATGTGTGCTGTGGAGAAACAAGCTGAGATCAGAGTCTTGAATACCCTTGCATTCCTCCTAAACCCAAATATTATCAGAAGGCTAAGTTTAAGTCCCACACTCCTGAAATCCAGGGTATCTCTCCCACAGACTGTTATGTGTCTCTGTCCCCTTTGAGAATTCGCCTGCCTGGTCCCCATACCTGCAATGCCAGGGCTGTGCATGTCACATACAGTGACCTCTGAAGGACCCCAAAATACCGGGATGACAATGCCTTTACTGTGTCAGTTGCCATGAGACTGTGTTGGCCTACAAATAGTAGCAGGAGCCCCAGATCCCAAGCCAGGGGGGCAAGGATGCTGGGATCTTGCAGGGCCGCCAACCATCCCTGGCGCACATCTAGAGGGAGTTGAGAAAGGGACAAAAAACATCAGGAAGATGGCGGGAAACTCTTTCCCTCCCATCCCCGCCAGCTTCAGGCCCAGTCCTTTCACGCTTTCAAGAGCCTTCAGCTTCCTCTTCAGGCTTCCCTAGGTCTTTTCCATTCCCATTTCTTCTCTCTTCCCCAGACCTCTTTCTGTTGTGTGGGTCACACAACAACGCACCTTGGGCAGTTATAAAAGGCGGGGCTGGAGAGGCCACTCCTGGATTGTCCCGTATTCCAGTTCTCCAAATGCTTCCGTTTTTAAACACTTCTCTACAGTCTTATCCACAAAGATCTTTTCCTAAAATTTTCTACTTATCACTCTTTCCCGCCCCCTCAGTCCTCACTCTCCCATCAATCTAAACCGTTTATCCCCGAGTTCCTAATTTAGCCTGGCGGTCCCCTCTCCTGCCGCGTCTCGGGGATCCCAACGTTAGAGTTCCCTCTCCCGGACTTCCCATCAGTCACTGGTTGGTCTTCAAGCCCCGCCCGCGCGCCCTCTCCTTCGGCTCCACCCCCCATACACCGAAGTCAACCTCGGGTCCCTCCGGCTCACCGGGACCAGACTCCGGGACCCCTCCAAGAAGTGGCCGAAGGGAGGTAAAGCGCACGAACTCCACTCCGGTGCCAAAGGCAAGGATGAAAGAAGCGAGGGCAGCAGGTACCAGGAACAGCGCAGGGGCCATGGCGAGAAGTGGAGGGGTAAGGAGAGGGGCAGGCCTAGGGTTCCCGCGGCCGCTAACCACGCCCATTTCCCCGCCCACCGCCTAGGACCCACCCAGGAGGGCGGAGCTCCTCGCGCCGTCTCCCGGGTTTCCGGCACGCCCTGCTGTGCTTGCCCCAACATGTGGCGGTACCGACGGTCCCTAAGTCCCTTTACCGAGTCGGTAATCTTGGCGTCACAGAAGGGAAAGCTAGAATCCCACGTGAGAGGTATAAAGGGCAGGTGCTCAGCAGCCACTCTCATAGGCTGAATCTTAGCTCTGCTAAACAATTTTTTTTTCAGGGTTCTTTTATTTACTTTTTAAAAACGTTTTATTATGAATTGGGTGAAGGTTTAGAGAGCAGAGCATCAGTGTTTACATTCAACAAATCCTCATACATTTCGTTTCATTTCATTGTTTGCAATCCTCTTATCCCACTTATCCCACTTTCTTTGTTTTGTTTCCGTTTCTCCTTTTTTCCCAACTTTCTGAACTTTGTTCTTAGGTAAATGCTGTTTTCTTCTTTGCTCTTTCTAAAATGAGCTTTATAAAAAAATTTATTTTAGAACAACTATTTTTAGAAAAATTACAAAGATGGTACAGAAAGTTTCCATACCTCCACTTCCAATTTCCCCTATAACTAACATCATACATTATTGTATATTTGCTGCAAATATCTGTATATGTTGTTAAGTGCCTTAGAATCTGTTCTGACCCATAGCAACCCTGTATAGGGTTTCTGAGGAGCAGCTGTTGAACTTGAACTGCCAACCATCTGTGTATGTATGCATGGATATTGTTAAGTGCCATCAAGTTGGTTCTGACTCATAGCAACCCTGTGTAGGGTTTCCATGGAGCAGCTGTAAAAAGATATTTAAATATGTTGTTGTGTTGTTGTTAAGTGCTGTCGAGTCGGTTCCGACCCATAGCGACCTGTATAGGGTTTCTGAGGAGCAGCTGGGCTTGAACCACTGACCATGTAGTTCAAATGGCTTTGCAGTCTGGCACATTCATCCACAGCACCACACCAGAACAACATATTTAAATATATAAGAATATCTTGTTTGGTAAGGTGGAGGGTCAGAGAAAAAAGAGCAAGACCCTCAGTGAGATGGATTGGCCAAGTGGCAGCATTGATGGACTCAAGCGTGGCAACAGTAGTGAGGTTGGCCCAGGATGTTTCGTTGTGCTGTGCATAAGGTCGCTATGAGTTGGTGCCAACTCAATGGCACCTAACAACAACAATGTTTAATTTTTAAACAATTTTAGAATTCCCAAAAGTTTCAAACATTGTATAGAAAGTTCTCTCATACCTCTCACCCAGGGTTCCCAAATGTTAACGTCTTCTATCACCTTAGTTTGATGATCAGTTTGATGATCTTGACACAATATTATCAATTAATCAACAGACCTTAATCAAATGTCACCCATGTTCCATTAGTGTCCTTCCTTTCTTTTCTTTTAGTTGTAAATGAAAAGAGAAACATTCCAGATGGGAATTAAAAAGGTATCAATTGAGAGGGAAGTACAAAACAGGTAAACCAGATGTATGATAATAGGAAGAGGGGAAATTGGCAGAGATAAACCTGAAGTGAACCTTCAATGTCAGATTAATTAATTAGATTCTATTGTTGATGTGATTGTTGATTAGTGCCTTCAAGTTGGTTCCAACTCATAGCCACCTTATGTAGGATTCCCAAGGAGCTGCTCGTGGATTTGAATGCCAAGTTTGCAGTTTAAACCAACCTTGCTGTCCAGTGCTTATCCTACAGATGTAGGACTCCAGATTCTATTAGTAGTGACTAAAGGAGACACATAGTATTTAATTACCTTGTAGTATGTAATTGCCTGGTTTTGATGTGGTTCTACAAATTATGCCTTTTTGATCCCAAATGGTGACCATTCTATGGTGTGGATACCTCACTAGTGCTGTCGTTCCCCCTTTAGTCCTACCTATTGTTTATCTGAAAATTGAGGCACAGTCAGGAATAATGAGTTCAGTTTCAGACCTAGAGGGTGATCAAAGGCCATAGTCTTGGGGTTCCACCAGTCTCTGCCCAACCAGTAAGTCTGGTCTTTTTAAAAACATTTTTTTATGATTTTGAGTTTTATTCCAGTTTTTCTCCCATTCTGCCCATTCTAATGTGATCCCTTTCACAGCAATTGGTAGTGGTAGTCAGACACCATCTAGTTCTTCTGGTCTCAGGGTCATGGGGACAAATGTTCCTGTGGTCCACTGGACTAATTGTTTCCGTGCATCTTAAATTTTTGTCACTCTTCTTTTCTTTGGACACAATAGCGGTGCCTAGATGACCATTCATAAGCTTTTAAGACCCCAGTCACTATTCGCCAAAGCAGGATGTAGAACATTGTCTTTGTGGACTATGTTATCTTTCAGGGTTCTTGAGGAAATGGAACATTATAAACTCTCCCCTCTTTTTTTTTTTTTTTAAACTTGGCCGTGGCTAGAAAACAACCAAAATATGAGGTAACATAGCTCAGTAGTTTAATAAAGGACAGTAAGAGCACGGGAAGACTGTTGACTCAGGCTCTCTGAGAACCCAGACCTCTGAATCATCCATTACATTATGTTAGATTAAAAAAAGAGAAGACAAGTGAGTGACTATTTTGCCACAAAATAAGTTAATATTCATTCTGTAACTTATTATCAAGTTGAATGATTGCCTTTCCACTTACTACAAAGGGCAAGGTTTCTCTATAATACTGAAGGTTTTGTTCTAATCGATCCAAATACAAAGACTGTTGACTTCTAAGCATGAGGGTAAGGATGTGTTAAAGTGTAAGTGGTAGAAAACGGTTTGCTCTTTACAACTGTAAATTTGCAGCAGGTTTGTTTTATCCACCAAGCTTGTGATATAATTAGCTAGCTATGATTTTACTCTGTCATCCCTTAACTTGACTTCACTTTCAGAAAGCACTAAGATTTTTTCTCTCAATATATACCTTACAGACCTGTTTGTAATACCTAAAGACTAACATTCATATTCAAAAAGCAAAGGAAGATTTTCTCCATCAAAATGAAAGTTCTATATTTTAAGACCCCAATTAAGGACTTACAGGAGCTCTGGTAGTGTAGTGGTTACGAATCGGGCTGCGAACCTTAAGGTCAGCAGTTC